GGATTTGAGACTTTAGTCTTTGCAACTTTACAGATCTTCTTTATGCACCAAGAGCTTGTAACACTCCAAAGAGAAAGGAAAAATTGAAATCGCATCATATGACCCCTTTAAAATAAGTATCTTAAGCTCACCAAGGCTGTGTTCATTTGATCAAAAATACAGTAAAACAATAATATTGTAAAATATTATTACAATTTAAAATAACTGTTTTCTATTTGATTATATTTACAAAAATGTAATTTATTCCTGTGATGCAAAGCTGAATTTTCAGTATCATTTCTACAGTCTTCAGTCTCACATGATCCTTCAGAAATCATTTGGTGCTCAAGAAATATTTTTATTAACAATGTTGAAAACAGTTGAGCTGCTTAATATTTTTGTGGGTCATATTGTATTAATGTGGATATATATTATATTAATATTTTCATGATTCTTCGTTGAACAGAAAGTTCATTTTTCAACGTTTGAATGGTATATTCTGAGTGTTTATTGTTCATACAATGAATGTCAGTGGGGTCCAATGTTGTTTTGCCTGGCCAAAGAAGAAACTCATCCAGGTTTGGAGAGACTTGAGGGTGAGTAAATGACAGATTTTTCATTTTTGGGTGAACTATATATATATATATATATATATATATATATACTATAAGTTGAGAAAGAACGTAAAATAATTAAATTAAAAAGCTACACACTTTAATACACTGAAAAAAGAAGAAAAAAAAAACTGGTGTAGATTTACCTTGAAACAAAATTCATTGAGAAATTGCTAGTAGATTTCACAAGCGATTACAAAGAAATGACAAGTAACACCGAATTAAACATGAAATTTTGAAGTAGAAAGACTAACATAGTATTTTCTTGTGAAACGATCGTCTGTAATCTTCTTTTCACAGTGTACTTCTCAGTTATGAGTGACCCAATGTGAGGTTGTGGATGTAAGATGGCTGTCACTGCTCGAAGAGGAAGTCTGAGTGAGAAGACAGTTACGCCTACTGCTGATAGAAGACCAAAAGTCAACCAGACAGAAAGAGAACTTGCTGACACTGTGGACGGAGAGCTCCAGCGAGGCTTCGAGTGATTCTCCTGCTGCAGTGACCACTGTGGAGGGGAGAGTCAGGGATTGCAGCAGCGTCAGCAGAACCGGAGCTCATAAACCTCCAGGTGGCACGCTAGAGAGAAAGTGCTGAGCTGGGATGGGATCCTCCTGCCAGGGATTTTCCTCGCTCTGATGTAGCCCCCCGTCCCGCACTCTAATCTTGGATTTATGCCACCTGAGCGGGGAATGTTGGGACATGATGCTGCGGCCTGCATGAGCGAAACGGCCAGAGCGGCAATGCTTTGCAGTGGCAATAAAATGCTAATGATAAGCAGCACGTGACACGTGAGTGAAATGGAGTGGCGGGGAATTGCTGTTTATGACGGACAGATGCAATTTCCACTTTTCGGTTATAAAGGGAACGAAATCCAACCCGAGGTGAATGAAGTATGTCGATTTATGTCCGCGTCCTGCAGTCTAATCAAACTGAGCGGACTGTGTGAGTCTTTCCAAGAGATGTTTTATAGTCTTCAGAAGCGCTCGGCCCATTTTCCTGCCAGTTTGGCTTGTATTGATGGCGTCTGCAGATCTGTGGAGCACAAGAGCTGACGCTGCCTTTTGATGGAGCGACATCCTGACGCATTTTCTGCAGTGCGAAAGGGAGGAGAAACTTGTGTCTTAATGACTAAAGAGGCTATTTAGACAATGAGTAAATAGTGCAGCAAGTTCCTGATGTTGACCAGAGAGAGATAAAGTTACTAGCTGAGTGATGACCCTACGAATGCTTTCTTAAACATTAGAGGCATTAAAGGATTAGTTCACTTCTGAATTAAAATTTCCTCATAATTTACTCACCCCCATGTCATCCAAGATGTTCATGTCTTTCTTTCTTCAGTCGAAAAGAAATTAAGGTTTTTGAGGAAAACATTCCAGGGTTTTTCTCTATATAGTGGACTTCAGTGGGGTTCACTGGGT